AACAGATCAGGAGCTACTCAGTCTTCACTTTAGAAACCCGATAGAATCCAGAAGAATCTCCGCGTCCTTGTGGGTGATGAATTATTTTCCAATCGACAACTCTTTTCCCGCAGTCGAAACGTCGCAAGCCTCTGGCTGGTCTATCACTATTTCCGTGGAAAGTGTTCTGATGAATAATATTTCTTGGTTCTATCAGTTCTAATATTCAGAACTGAGACCCGCCATACTAAGCGCACTGGAGTAAACAACCCTCATATCCTTCCTATTCCTTTATATATGATATTTATGACTGAGCTATTATATCAACGTATGATTGAGACAGGATCAAACACACACATGCTGACACAAACACACACCAAAACACACAGAAACACACACACATACACACACATGAAACATGTATAAATGAAGGAACAGTCATATAGCATGAGAAAAAAACCCCAGTAAAATCGACCTTGCTAACCGAAACGCTCTTCTGTGGTTACATCGGTAAAGCACGCCAGGCGATATGACGGTTCCGTATAGTATACAGGTTCGATTCCTGTCGGAGGACGCATATTTTCTATGAAAATTTCTCGGACTTTTAGGCTGGAAAATTTCTCGGACATTTAGGCTGGTAAATGTCGTTAATACTGTTTATTATAAACAGATTATTTACTTTAATATTTGTATCGAGATAAAGAACGTATAAACATTAAAAAAAATGTCTTTATATATATATAATACCAAAATATCTTCGGTAAGGATTATTTCAAAGAGGAATTTTCAGTCCGCGCTAACTATATGATACAAAGCAAATTATAAGATTAATTACGAAATTAACTTAAAAAATCTATAGTCAATAAAAAAAAGTTGATTTCCATGACCATATTTATCAGATCGGATACATTTTTTATTTATATTTATATATATATATATATATATATATATATATTCACCAATACAAAATTAAAACACCAAACAGACTTTATGAAAATGGTCTGAATCCTCAAATAAATTGGAAAAATTTAGGTTTCGTGAACACCCCCAATAGTTTTAGGGATAGGTCCAGGATAAAATATAAACTATTAAATCAACGTAGCAAACTAATCACGAAATGTAAACATAGAAATAAATTACAAATTACATAATCTATATATATATATTCCGTGAGTTATAACTTATTCAAGATGTTCTTCGCCCACTCTAACTTTTTACTTTCTGTCCTTTCTTTCACAGCTTTCGTTCATTTTCATATTTTTTCACTGCTATTTAGCCTGTCGTACCTGAAACTCCACTCTTACTTGCCAAACGTCTTATGAATTTAGATGGATCTTTTCTAATTAATTTCTTTAGCTTTAAGTTGAAATGACGATCCCTCTTACTGTTGTGACAAACCTGATGCAGTTTCCTTCCTAGTGTTCTCTCTTTTGTAAACTTATTCACTGTTCTCTTGATGGTTCTTGAAAGGACATTGAAGATAGAAGCCAGAGCATGTATATTAGTACCATTACTTAAGGCCTCAATGATCTTTTTTCTCTCACCATTGCTCACTTAGGAAGATAGAGCGTCTGATACTAAACAATTTTAACCTGCTCTCTTTTTAGCTGAATACCTCAAAGGGTTTTATAGTGATTCTTATGACAAATAATGTCAATATGGTTAAACGACTTTTTTGAAAACCTGGAAAAAAGAAACTCAATTAGATTAGTGATTTTTTGAAATATAAAACATTTTATGAGATGGCTAGAGAGATCTTGTGTTTTAAGATGACTGTTTCTTCGTTTGATTTTTGTCTTCTTTATTTCAATTAAGCATCACCTAAATACACAATAATAATAATAATAATCTCTATCTATAAAAGGCAGGATGTGTGTGTGTATGTGTGTGTAACGAATGTATGGCCGCAATTTTCGACGGATTTGCACCAGAATTGACATATACATGCTCCAAGTTAGAGGGAAGGCCAAGACCGACTTTGCATTCCCCAAATCCCATCGATAGTGGAAATAATCGAGTTTTTCATGCTTCTACGGCAGTAGTTTGTAGTTTGCGGCCAGTTTCTACTGGCCAGAGTGAGAGCCTATAGCTGGCTGCTACGAATAGGCAGAAATATTCTATTAGCCAGCGTGAGAGCCAACAGCTGACTGACATGAATGTTAACTAGCATGCTAGCATGCAAAAATATCAATAGCTGCATTCGTCACAAGTGGGAAAAATTTAAATCTGCATGGCACTTTACTCCAATTGGCTCATTCGCTCGCTTAAACTCAACTTGATTCTGATTCCACAGAACTGGGTTGGGTGTGAAAAAGTATTTGTTGTTAACATTCTTTTTTCATTTGGTTTTTCCAGTTACGAGTCCTTTTTTAAAGCTGATCATTTTGTGTTCATTTTGTTTAGTTCTTTTTTCGTAACAGATTTAATGTTTAGTATAGAGCTTAGAAAAAAATTCACAGTGTGAGATAGGCAAGAAGTAAGGCATGTAGCAACATCAGCACAGGCGATGCTGCTAGTAAGAAAGGCAATAAAGTCACTAAGTACGAGAGAAAATAAATTAAATGTTTTACAATTGAAATGGCTAGATGTAACCGTAAGTTCCATGCTAACAGTTTTTTTTTGTCGCACTTCTCGCTTGTGGAAGGTTCTTCCAGGTTTTTACTTCCCAGTCAACTTTGATCTTCAAAAACTTTAATTCAATGTCAACCATTTATCTTCTGTCTTCTTCATTCTTGTTCTTTTATTGTCCTCTCTGATTAACTGTAGTGTTTTTTGCTCATATTGTCAAACAGGCAGAAACCCCTTACTTCTTAGTGGCTTTATTAACTTGCTTGCGGTGAAATGATTACAAAGAGTATATCGTGTTGATGTATTTTCCAATACCGTGCAAAATAAAAAAGCAACGTATTTCTTTGGGAGAAATTATTTGTCAAGCCGTGAAGCCTTCAGTATCTCATATAGAATTACAAAGACTACCACATATATTTATAGTTTTATTTTTTTTTTTAATACAGCTGTTTCGTGGTCTAATTCAAAACTGTTATATATATATATATATATATATATATATATGAAGTGAACATTGTAGTCAACACTCAGAGGCGATATAAGAAAAGACTTAATTAATCATCGTATCATCGGTTATAAACTTATTTCAACAGTCATATATATATATGCCCGCACACACAATTCCGTAAAATACTTGTCGAAAACACAACTATACTTCGACATGAAAACAATAGACAAAAACTAAAAATACTTGAAGCATTATACATCAAACAATTAAAACCCAACCTAAACAAAATCAACTATGGAATCTCTACAAATATTCTTAAATGTCTATAATTTCTATAATTGGTAACAGAAGCCATTGGTTTATACCAACGGCTTTCCTTATTCATTCTACAATTCACTCTCGTGTAGTCATGTGTGACGTCATGAGATGCGGTGCGATTTTCGCTTCTAGCGTCTTATATGCGCGTGTTCATCGTTGCTTAGTGATCCATTATGTAAACAAAAACAATGACAGACTATCATCACTGTCGTGTCCGTATATTGTTTGATATGTTTGTAATTACATCTTTGATAATGGCTTGAGTAAGCCGAAAGCTTAGATTTTATTAAAAAATAATGGATAAATATTGTGAATTTCTTTTTTCGGTTAATGATAATGTTATCAAACTTATCAGAAGATACGAAAAAATTTTACATAAAATAAATAGACAACACTTGTCTATATTATTTAATGAAACGTGTATATATATATATATATATATATATATATATATATATATATATACTTTCCTCATCAGACCGACTACATTGCCCCAATTTTCTCTCTGTTCAACACTATCTTCTCCGACCTTCCCTTCCTCCTATATACAAACTTCTTTTTTCTTCCACACTTTTCTCTCTCTTCAATCGTGTAAGCCCCCCCCCCAGACACCCAACCACCCACCCACCATCACCACTTAAAATCGCTACTGTGACTGTTGAAATAAATTTATAGCCAATTGTATGATCTCTAATTTTCCTTATTTATTTATATTGCTCTGTATATAAATTTATACAACGAGCTCTTATCATGGAGTTAACTTTTGAATATCTTTATATCAAAAATACCTCACTGGAATAATCCCTACAACCTAAGGGTTTGGTATCTATCTATCTATCTATCTATCTATCTATCTATCTATCTATCTATCTATCTCAGACTGTTGTAATCTATCTATCTATCTATCTATCTATCTATCTATCTCAGACTGTTGTAAACTATCTATCTCAGACTGTTGTAATCTATCTATCTATCTATCTATCTATCTATCTATCAAAATATGATCTCATGCTGTTGAAATCTATCTATCTATCTATCAAAATATGATCTCATGCTGTTGAAATCTATCTAGCTATCTATCTATCAAAATATGATCTCATGCTGTTGAAATCTATCTATCTATCAAAATATGATCTCATGTTGTTGAAATCTATCTATCTATCTATCTATCTATCTATCTATCTGTCTATCAAAATATGATCTCATGCTGTTCAAATCTATCTATCTATCTATCTATCTATCTATTTATCTATCTATTTTCCTTTTCTAAACTTTCTTCCCAAACTATGAACTGTTGTATTTTGAAAGACTTTTACGTTCCCATCTTCTGATATGCCTTCGTCCTGCCATTTTTCAAACCAATTATCTCATATTCAGATTTCCCCGGAGCAAAATGGCGTCGAATCGTTTCCACACCTACAATACAACTTTTCATATTCTTCACCTCCATCCGTCATTTTTCATACCCTTCATGCCGGTGAAAAGACTGAATCTTCTGATGGACGACGTATTGAGGAGAAATGAGTCACTTTTGTTTCTCTCTTTCGTGACTCTCGCTTTATTTGTTCCCTATTTGTAACAGAGGGATAACTAGAGAAAGAGAGAGATAATGAGAATAAGGTTTGAAGGTAGAGGAAGACAGGAGAAGAAATGAAGAATAGAAGATAGAAACAAGGAAGAGAAAAGATCACACCAGGAAAAATAAATGGAAAGAGAAAACAGAAAATAGACGTAGAGAGAGAGAGAGAGAGAGAGAGAGAGAGAATAAATGAGGCGACTGAGAAATGAGAAAAAAAGATCCGATGAAGTAAAAGAGAACGAGGAAACAAAGAAAAGAAAAAAAGGAGAAAGAGAAGTGGAAGAGATAGACAGATATAGTTGACAGAAAAGAGAAAATGATGTGGGGATTGTGGGAATAGTATGAGGGGGGAATTAAATGTAAATTAGTAAAAGGAGAAGATAAGGAAAATGGAGAGAGATAGATAGACTGAAGAAAGAAAGAGAGGTGGCAGTTTAAAATTATTAGAAGAAAAGAAGCGAGTGAAGATGGAAAACAAGGTAAGAAACAGTAGATAAGCAAACAGGTGAGGAGAATAAAACTTGATGAAAAGTGAAAAATAATTTGAAAGGAGGAGGAAGATGAGGTGAAACAATGTAGAGGGAGAGAGAGAGAAGGAAAATAAGGGAAGGAGGAAAGTTTAAAATTGGTAGGAGGAGGTAGATGAAGAGGAGAATTAAAAGCGGTTATACAGGAGTAGGTAGGCTTTCCTACCGCCTGGTCAACACTCCTCCCCCTTCTCTTGGACATGAGTAGAGGCTTACGCATTGTTTCTTGCTTAGGGAGGGGTTTCTTTCTCTCTCTCTCTCTCTCTCTCTCTCTCTCTCTCTCTCACTGGCCTCTGTATCTCCAGTTGCCTTGATCTATCCACTACTCTTCTCATCCCTGACAAGGGCTCGGAGCCTAGAATAGGTTAAGATTGTAATGACTGGGGAAACATACTCTTGATGATTCCATAGGGCAGTATTTCGCGGGATGAAGTTTCTCGCGTGGAACTTACTTCTAACCGATGGAATATGGAAGGAATATAGGTGGCTTGCTACTATATAAGTGGCATGTCGTGTTCTTGGCATGAAGATTTGCCTTGACGGGACCAGGGAGTGGAGTTCGTCCGATCACTTTCCTTGCTATCCACTATCCTTCTCCTCATCCTTTCTTCTATCACTCCTATCTGATCTTGCTCCAAATTTTCTGTAACCCTTTGCGTCCTAGTGGCTTTCCACCTTGCTTGGGGTGAAACGCTTAAAAAAAAAAAGAGAGGAATTTTGAGGGGAGGTTTGAGGGGGAGTTTTGCTGGCGATTAAGGGTTGTTCAGGTGGAGTGTTCATGGGGAGAAGAGGAGATTGATAAGAAGCAAAGCGATGATCTGGAGAAAGAAAGGGGCGTGTGAAGGGAAGGGGATTGTAGAAGGGGAGTGCTGAGGGGAAGTGCTGAGGTGAGTGTTGATGGTAGGGGCAGTGTTGAAGGGTGCGAATGTTAGGAGGAGGAGGGGTTTGTTGAGGGACGGTGGTTAAAGTCGAGGGGATGGATGTTTAGAGAGGAGTGTTCATAGGGAGGGGAGGTGATTCATTGGGTAGGGCTTACTGTTGAGGGAAGGTGTGTTCAGGGGCAGGGGAGTGGATTGATCAGGAGGGGAGATGATGAGGAGTAAAGCGATGATCCATAGGCGGGAAGCTTAAAAAGAGGAGGCGATAGAAATGAAAAAAAAAAAAACATCGGAATACCTGATTGAAAAAATGAAAATAAAAGAAAGTTGAGACATCCGACAAGACCGGTGATAGAGGATTTTAAAAGCGAATGGAAAAAGGGGAAACATAAAAAAATGAGGGGAGGAAGAAAAAAAGAAGGAAGAAGTAAAGTCAAAGCAAAAAAAAAAAAAAAAGAGAAAGTAAGGGATTTTTTGTGACTGCGGAAAAAATAACAAAGACGGAGTTATTAAGTTCCTTTTTTGCCATGACTTAAAAGCGCACATCCAATCAATGTAATCTCTCATCTCCAGCATGTCTGCTCGTTTCGGATTATGTCTATCGGCTTAGGCCTAGGTATGATTCTTTTTGTTTGATGTGCTGTGTCCCTTCATGGCTTAGGCAACCATGACCCTCCACATCTTCCAGTCCACTGTATCTCATATGTCTTGTTTTTTTTATATTTCTCTCAAACTATGTTTTACCATCCATTTGCTCAAGCTGATCAAGTATGTTACGCACTGCTTTCCTCTATTCCTCTATCTCTCCTGTGCATATCAAACTTTCCAAGCACTCCTTCCTCATTACATGCTCTAGAAATTTCAACTGCCTCTTCCTAATGTTAAGTATAACTTTCCTTTTGATTTCATTTTCTCCAAAACCTTGTTACTCACATGTTCAGTTCATGGTATTCTTAGAATCTTTCCGTAGAACCACATTTCTGTTACTTCAAGTTTCTTCTTCATTTTTCATTCGCTGCCATATAGGTAGGTTGATATTATGTAACAGTTCAATACTCTTTTCTTTTTTTTCTGTCTCTTAATACTCTGCTTAGCTTTTGGAATGCATCTTTGGCCATCCCAATACATCTTCGGATCTCAGTGTCGCATTTTCCGTCCAGTGTTAGAACATTTCCAAGATATTTAAATTTCTGTATTTGTTTCATTTTAGTACACTGACCTGTAATTTGCATTTTGGGCTCACCTTTTTGCTGCTAATCATGTATTCTGTTTTCTTGTAGTTTATGCTGATTTATACTGCAACTAAGCTAAAAGGACATTAGTTATATTTCAAGACAATGTTTAGGGCACTTCGACGTGGTTTAACAGTTAGGAAGCTTGTGTCACTAGATCAATTCCGACTCAGTAGTGTGTTCGATCCTCACTGAGTGTCTCATTCTTTCGGCCTTGTGCCACAGCTACGCTTAGCAAATCATTTTTGGGCACCTAGAGGTGGTGTAATGGTTAGCAATAATGTCTCGCTAGAACAATTACGACTGAGTAGTGAGTTCGATTCTCACTAGGTACCTCCTACATTCGGCCTTGTGCCACACCTAAGCTACACTGGGAAAATCACTTTTGGGCACCTCGGAGTGGCTTAATGGCTAGCAAGCATGTCGCGTTAGATCAGTTACGACTGAGTAGTGAGTTCGATCCTCACTGGGTGCTCCCTACTTTCGGCCTTGTGTCACATCCAATCTACGCTTGGAAAATGACTTTTGGGCACCTCGAAGTGGTGTAATGGCTAGCAAGCATGTCTCGCAAGAACATTGATGTCTGAGTAGTGAGTTTGATCCTCACTGGGTGCAGCGCTTAGAAAATGCCCATTTCAAGACCGTGTTCCACCATGGCCACATACGGTTTTGAATTCAGGGTTGCCTTTCTCGGAAGCTCGTCGGCTAACCACAGAGTCCAGTCTCGAATACTTCTATCCCATATATATGGGGAAAATCGGCGAAATCCTGACATTCTCAAGTGGATTTGGGCGAAAGTGAATGTGATCGTATCGACTGAAATTCGAAACCGTTTCGCCGCTCTCTCACCCCGGCTTTCTAACCATCACAACACCCACACATCAACTGACGGATATAGAGAGGCCACAAAAGATGATACAGAAAGGAAGTGTAATCAAGTGGGTGGAAGACGAGATACAATAACATCATTCTGTATTACGAGCAAAAAAAAAAAAGAAAAAAAAAAAAAGAAAGAAAACGATATCTATAATTGAGTGTTTCACGCAACACAAAACACAAATACTTAATAAATAGTAATTTTTATACACTCTCATATTTATAGGCGTTTCTGTTGTAATTTATTACGGGCAGATAAGAAAGCAAATTTACTGCCTACCTAAAAAGGGAGACAAAAACCTGAATTGTAGCCTATTTCCAACACTACAGTATAGCATAAACTCGAACATGATTGCAAATAGTGTGAGGAGGGGAAAATATATTTTGAAAATATGCTTCTACTATACAAGTTGAGACGAGAGGAGTCCCGTTTGGGTGAATATTAAATAGCTAGATTGCTTCCGTGCGGACCAGGCATTGGATAAAATTAATGTTTATTGTGTTTTTTTTTTTTGTTTTTTTTTCTTTTGTATCGTAAAAGTTTTGATTGTAATAAACGCTGCCTCTTCTTGTCTAAGCTTTTCTGTTCGACGCCTATGGCCATTATAACACCCGCTCATAAATTAATGGATAGAGAGGGGAGAGAAGAAAAAAATATGACATAGAAAGAAGAATGGGAAGTGGTATACAAAAACACGGGCCTCGCTGCTTTACTTCGAGTCTTCAGGAAAGAGACGCATTGCGTGTTCTTGGGCTAACGTTTTCCGTTTCCGCAGACATGAAGCGACCAAAAAGAACAGCGCGTAATCTACTTAACGTGCTTGTGTAAATGGATGGCAGAACAGGGTTTAGGATAGATCCCAAAAAGAGAACTA